TCCTTCCCCGGTCGAGCCAAACCATTCGTGCTACAACTATACTATTAATATAGCTGCAGCATGGCTCTAACACGTACTAAAGTTAGTTAACTTGTAGGTATAGCTTCGAAATAGTAATTTCCTTGTATGTATATACATAATCTGATGCAGTAAGTAAGTATGCAGACTTGATTCTTAATATTACCTAGCTATTAAAACAAGAAAACGGTTGGAAAACAGTATAGAGTATGTACTAGCCTTATTCAAATACTGTTCATATTATCTATGATTTATCTATAATTAGTGGCTTAATTTCGCAACGTTTACTTCCTTCGCACTATAGATGAATATATTTTCACTCTTTGATTTTAATGACCGACTGCACTGCACTCCTTTTTGTAAGTCTTTACTTATTAAACCAAATTATTAAAGTGGACACACATTTTTCATTTTACTATCGTCGCCTCGCCCTTCACGCCGAATCCCCGCTCTGCATAGCCGAACGACTGCTGGCAGGGAGAGGTTCCGTCCGATGCGGTTCACCACGATTGTCCACTCCCGTTCCCACCCTGGACATACTGCGAGCGTATGGGAAGCGGAGTCCTGGTCCCGTCCACCGCAGTGGAAGCAGTTCGTGGTCGCCTCGCGTCCAATCTTACACAGATAATCACCGAATCTCACTTGCCCGGTAATACATTACCCTAGCCAAAGGCGTGTTGGTTAACTAGAGCCGTTTAAGAAATAACCGGCCAAGTGTGAGTCGAACTCGCGCATAAAAGGTTCCGTACCATCGTACAAAATTAAATACTATTTATGCAGAAAAAAAAACGTTTTAGTAGGGAAGTTCTTATCATTTCTTGTTATAGCGACAACGGAAATACACATTCTGTAAAAATTTCAACTATATACCTATTACGGATCATGAGATACAGCCAGCTGACAGGCAGATGGACGGCTAGCAGGGTTTAGTAATAGGGTCCCGTTGCTTACCGTTCGTGTACGGAGCCTTAAAAATTGTATAAAAAGTCCGTAGCTTCGTGAGTCGACTATTTAATTCGTAGGTGTCCTTTATTTCACACGACGCATGCAATTTCTAGTCGCGTTTAGTCTTCCAAAATAGCCCTCGATGAGATGTATGATAAAGGCAAGAAAGGTTAAGGTTTTAACCTTCCTTCCGTTCGACTACCCTATAATCTATGTATTAAAATGTGAAAGGAAAACTTTGTAACTCTTCTTAAGCATATTGCGCGCACAGAGGAGTGTGAGATTTAACATAACTAAAGTTTATAATATGGAGGAGTGCAGAAAGCTAAAACTTACATGTGCTACAAATACATTGAATGATACATACATTGTTTACCTACGTTAATACATGCCAATGTCAAGTACATAATTGTCGCTTTGACAAATTAGATTTCCTTTCGACGTTCATACTGCCAAGTCTTGTTCCTTTTTTTTTAATCCGTCGAGTGTATGTCACGGCAGAAAAGTATTTACTTTATATTTTATATATTTGTATGTTAGATATCTGTGTGTTATAAAATGTGCAGTTGAAAGTGAAATACAGCTTGCTTAATGTACAAATTATTATATAAAATATAGCAAATATTACAGTCGAATATTACATATATAGCACAACAAAATCGCTCAGCATTCATTTTCAACCGACTCCAAAAAAGGAGGAGGTTCTCAATTCGACTGTATTTTTTTAATGTGTGTTACTTCAGAACTTTTTTTTTTATAGAATAAGGGTGACAAACGGGCACACAGTCCACCTGATGGTAGGTGGATGCTGCCGCCTATAGACATCAACATCTATCCTCGATTAAGAATCAACATGTAAATGTGTTGCAGCCCTCAAGGGTCCACAGTCCTCAAGGAATGTGATGGAATGCCTCGTTTCCAGTAAAAAGGGTCTCCGGTTCTCTACACTCACCACAAGAAACACAGCAGCTATGAGCTGCTATTTTACGCTGATATTATGTTAGAACGTGGTCCCCGGTCGTGCCGACGCGTTCGTGCCACAACCATAATATAGCTGCAGCATAACTCTACCACGTCTAATAACTTTTTCTATGTGAAACAATTTTTATGATTTTAAAAGCTGGTACTTCTCATTTGGTGCCATATAAATTTGATCAAGATCTGAATAGTAGTTTTTGAATTATCCTTAATAATGCGTATTTAATTGACTTCGACTACATTGATTTATACTGAAGACGGTCGTACAATTTCTTTTTATTTGTCACTTATTATGGACACGTTTAAGCTGTGCTATGGTATATAGTATTGGTTCACTTACTTAAGAAGTAATGAGATATACTATATAGCAGATATATATACTATATATGCGATTTTTCCGGACCGATATGACTTACGGGGATTTCACTTAACGGACATGCCCGCGGGCATGTCTGTAAACATACCTGCCGGACTTCGCTACTATAGGTCTGTGCAAAGTTTGATAGTGTAGGACCGTCACAGTCGGTCTGGCAGACTTGCCTGTTGAATGTCCGCGCGATCCCATTTTGTCTGCGGCAAAGGTATTAAACAAACTGATGAGTCTGTGTAGTGTATTGCGGCGACAGACATGCCCGAACAGACATGTCCGCGGGCATGTCCGTTAAGTGAATTCCCCGCTTTAGGGACCTTCAAGAAAAGAGCTTACATCTTACTAAAGGGCCGGCAACGCAATTACATATTATATTCAAAGTATGAATCTGATGTATAGAAATATTGTTATAATTTGTAACGAATATCCACGATAAATTCTAAATACGTTGCAACTTCGTTAATGAAACATGGTCAGGCAATACCTCAGACAAGGTTATTTTATAAATAGCAACATTAACATATCTGTACTTATATATCGAAAACATATAGACATACTTTGTAACGACCGTATTGATAATGAAGTGACCTAGAAGAAATACGAATAGAATAGAGTGATACATGTGAGTGAGAATGAATTACCTACATAAGTTACAGTTTTATTAAATGTTATTTTATTTTTCTAAGTGGACACTTTTTAGTGTAATACACAAAATTCCTTTCCTAAAGAACTCTTCTCTTCTCTCTGAGGTACTTCTACAATCTCAGAAATAGATATCAATAGGTGCAAGGTCTGGTGAATATTATTTTTTTATTCTATTCAAAACGCAAAACTCCCAGAGTAGAATTGTGCTCTGCGTTTAGAGGCGCTTTACATAAATTAATTGCATAAGGACACACATCCAGTCCCGGAAAATTGTGGGCCATACAAACACTTGTTCCGTGCGCGATAAGAATTTGAACCCGTGACCCAGCAGCGCAGCGACCTAACGTTTATCCACTGGACTACGTACTCGTCAAAATATGGAAAACTCAAGTGTGCCAAAGCTAGCATCTCGAATTGAACCCATCACAAAAACGGACTTGTGAACCGGGGCGTTATCTCGGTGTAACAAAATAGTCTTCGCGAGTTTGCCTCGCCGTTGCTCGCCTGTGTTTTTCTCGTTGAAATTTTTTTATTTGTTCTGCATGGAAAGTGACTGTAACAGAATCATCATGATCGAGATATTCAAGCATTGGCGCTTTTTTTTTAAATAAGAAAACGCAAGATCTTAACGGTGGATGCACTCGCTTTGAATTTCTAAGTCACAGATTGATCAGGCACGGGTTAGGACGAGTAAGACGAGATTCACTATCTGTTTATGCGCGGCCACTTGTGGCACTATATATTTCGCATAGTTGATATTTTCCAACAGTATCATCACATCTTTGTGTTTCTAATATGCCTTAATGCAAGTTAATTAAAAGTTTGTAGTAGTAGTAAATTTTGCAAAATCTAAAATCCATCACGATAAAAGCTTAGTATATAGTTTTAAAAATATTCTTTTTGGACAGGATCGATATTTAGATATTTTAAAGATAGTCTTGAGGTTGAACGTGCTGTGAAGTATATTATAATAAATATATCATTTCTATATAAGGAAAACTGTAACGAATTTGCATCAGCAACTTTTTTTTAACCGGTGACTTAACGGACGTCGGTGGCATACGACCTACTCTGAGTGAAGCCGTGCAGAATATTCAACTATTAGAAACCCATTTTATTTTAATACTTTTGCTGCAACGGTGATATTGTAGAAAATTACGTTGTTCCTTTAATCGTTTATACCGATGAGTGGGACCTCATACAGCACAGCTGAGGTCTTATTGTAAATGTGAGCTCTTTGCTGAAATTTGAACTCAGGATTTACAAATCAAAGGCGTGTTAATGTGTAAGGTGAAGTAGTGGATATTCTTACACCGCCACTACACGGTCAAATAAAGGGTATTTACACAAGTTTAAAATAATTAAAAATAACGTATGCCCTTGCGATCACACCCACAGTATATTCTCTATATCTCCTTACAAAAGGTCCTAATGAGATGCAATAACTTAAAAATAGAAATCATTTTGCTCTCCAAGAAGTTATCTAAAAAGAAAACAACGTATTTATAAATCATATAAATGATATTATACGAACCCTTAACAATTCAATCAAACACATTTATTTTATATATTTATTTTATATTTGATCCTTATTAAATTAATGCAAACTTCAAATCTAAGATAATAATGTAATTTATTACATCATATTTTTTTTAATAGAACTGCTCTTACGGATTTTATCGCTTTTAATTTTAAAAGTTTATCATCGATTATAATTTTTTTTAATCCATAAGAGTAGTTTTATTAAATACGAACTGTTTACATATTAAAAAATAATTAAACATGTGCTATCTGCAGTCCAAAACTGCAATTGTACCACGTTTTGATACGTGGTAGAGCTATGCTCCAGTTATATTAGTAGTATATAACACGAATGGGTCGGCTCGACGGGGGAAGGATCACGCTCTAACAGAATACCAGCGTAAAATGGCAGCTTAATGTTGCTGTTTCGTATGGTGAGTGTAGAGAACCGGAGACCCTTTTTACTAGTTATGACATCATAAAAAAAAGTTGTATAATTATATTTTTTTTTTGTACCATGCAGATGCACCGGCAGCGGAACGCGAGCAACTGTTCGTGCAAAAGTTGCGCCAGTGCTGCCTGCTGTTCGACTTCGCGGACGAGCCGCTCTCGGACCTCAAATGGAAGGAAGTGAAGCGCGCCGCGCTGCTCGAGATGGTCGAGTACGTCACCTCGCAGCGCGGCGTCATCACCGAGGCCATATACCCGGAGGCGGTAAACATGGTGAGTTTGCCTTTAAATTTACTGCGTTTTATGAAAGGCCTGAGATAGCCGTGTAATATTATTATGATTAAGAATGAAAATGTAGATGCTTTGTCGCCTCTGAGGACTAAGATAGAATGCCTAGTTAACAGTGAAAAGGTTCTACACTCACCATACGGAACACAGCAGGAGTAAGCTGTTATTTTATTTTCCTCACGGAATACCAGCGTAAACGAGCTCTCACGAGCGTGATCCTTCCCTGGTCGTACCGACCCATTCGTGCTACACCTAACATAGCTGCTGCGTGGCTCTAACACGTATAAAACGAGAGTTCTAAGAAAGGCCTGAGGTAGCAGTGTGGATAAAACCAATACATAGGGTATGAGAAGTAGTAAAAATAATACAAAAATATTTTATAGTTGTCGCAGACGTTGTGGTGTAAGCGTATCACGCATGTCTTCCCGTAGTTGTTTTCGTCGTCTATGGGGAACACCATGCTACCGAAAGATCGGGGATATCAATTCTATACTATGCAAGATGTAAAATATCCAGGCATCAGAGCAGCGTCAACGATGAAAGGCGTCTGGTATTGAGGTCGCCAATCCAAAGCCTGCTATAATGGTGAATTTCTCCTATGTTTCTTTTTCCTCCTATAGCAGACGCCCATGTCTATGTGAAGTGGACTGTGGAGGAGTGATAAAATACAGCAAGCGATGATTCATATTTATTCTCTTATTTGAAAGAAGCCTTTCATCTCAACTAAAGAATTTAATAAAACATTAAAATAAAGTAAAGTAACAGCCTATATACGTCCCACTGTTCGGCACAGGCCTCCTCTCACTTCTGAGAGGGTTTTAAGGTAAGGAAGTGTCCGCCGTCTTCGATATATATATATATATTTTTTATTTCTCAAAAATGCAGGTTTCCTCACAGTGTTTTCCTTCATCGCAAAGCATGTGGTAAATCAGCACTTCATATTGCAATTAACAATTTCATTGGTGCCGTCGGGGATGGAACCCGGGTTGCTCGCGTACTGTGAAATTTACAGTGAGCGCTAATCCTTTGAGCTACCACGGCTTAACTTTAACTATTGCATAATTTGTTCAATCAACATATCTCTCTAATGAAACTAACCCTTGCAGTTCGCGATCAATTTGTTCCGAACTCTGCCGCCATCTTCGAATCCGAACGGTGCGGAGTTCGACCCGGAGGAAGACGAGCCCACGCTAGAAGCTGCGTGGCCACACCTTCAGCTTGTATACGAGCTGTTCCTGAGGCTGCTCGAGTCGCCAGACTTCCAGCCGAACATCGCCAAGAAGTATATCGATCAGAAGTTTGTTTTACAAGTACGTCATGTTCCTTTCTTTCCACGTTACTTCATAAAGGTAGAGTACTACATGGTCTGGTTGTAGTGTAAAGTAATCCGAGCACAGTCATCGTGTCTCTGGTCCTGAGTACGATTTATGTTGAAGCCTCATATTAACTATTAAACGGAAGCCATTTTAGGTCCAACTATGCATAAGCCTTTTCTTCCGACTTCAAAAAGGAGGAGGTACTCAATTCGACTGTACCTACGTGTTTTTTATGTGTGTTACCTCACAACTTTTTTCTAGATGAACCAATTTAGATGATTCTGCTGGTGCTTCTCATGTGATCTCATATAAACTTGATCAAGGTCTGACCAATAGTGTTTGAGTTATCCTTAATAAATTATATTCTAGTCGGCTGTACAAAATTTTAAATTATTTATTTATTATAAGCCTGTGCTTAACTACAATTCCAAGTGTTGACGAAGCCCTAGATGGTAAATCGCACTGTCTTAGCGTTACAAAAGCATTGCCTTGAATACGCTCAGATTGTAATTGTAAGGAAAGACAGACGCCGTCAGATTATACCACTACTTTGCTATACGCATGACTATACGGAAAGACGAAGCCAACCATTTGGTTGTAATGCGTGGAATATTGACAACTAAGGGGTAAAGACCCGCCAACCGCCTGGTTGTCCGATGGTGCAAATGGGAGAGAGGAATTAAAGTATGTAGTGTCTATCAAAAACGAGCTTGCTGACGCTACTAGACTGCGCGCTTGTTTGTCTATCTATTGTCATTGTTTTTCTATTTGGGTTGTAGATACACATTAGAATAAAAAGTAATGAATATAAAAATAAACCTTAGAATCTTCCATGTAGGAAAACCAATTCAAACAAAAACCATAGTTGTGATAACAAGCAAAGTAACTAACAAATTTAAGGATTATTACTGAATACGTGAAACCTCAATATCTCCTCTGTAGCTTTTTTGGGTTGAACTTAGGGGTTGTCACTCCAAAGTAGAGTATAGAGTGCAAAAATATTGTTTAGTAGTAGTAGTAGTAGTAAGTAAATAATAGTCTTTTATGTGTGCTCATTTTCCCTCTCCGAAATCAAATATATTATTTGATATAGCAAATATATTATTTGATTACTTCTTAAAAAAGTTGGCAACCCTAGTTGGATTCCTTTGACGTAACTATATATAATAACACCCATATGTATAATATCATACAACTTAGGGTACCATACGGGAAAATCACATGTCGTGTAATACTAACAAATACTAGCAAAACACTTCTTACAAAGCACCAGATAGAGAAAAGCAGACCAAATGCAAACAAATCTATACACATGGGATCCATTAGAAAGACACCAAGTGAATATGTATCTGTTTGCATATTTCGTGAGAAAATGTTACTTTCACTTGCCGTAACATCAGTAAATTATGTTTTATTACTGATGTCATGGTATAGGACTGTATCTTATTAGGTGCATAAATTTCAAATTTAAACATTCATATACACGTGGTAGATAGTGAGTGACAAAACCCGAAAACCCTGTTCACAACGAGAAATCCGTCTTAGTCCTCAGAGGTGACAACGCATCTGCATTTTCATTCTTAATAGAGATAGCATCCTCTTACCATCAATTGAACTTAGAACGAAATCGATTCACTTAGCCTTAAAACCATCTCCGGTACTTTCATATAGCACTTACAGCTATAACTTATATGGCACGTATAAAATATACACCGATGTAAAGTCATTTTAATCAACAAGTATGACTTAATTAAAAATCATTTCTTATAGATTATTGCAAAAAAAAATCTATGAATTAAATATATTCTATTCTCTTCACGATAATCATAATACAAACGACTCGGATTATGAACGTTGACGATCTTCATGTGTACTTAGATCTGTAGGTGCGGAGTGTATTTAAGTCTGGATATGATGTGAAGCAAAGCGGACACAACACTTATCCTGATGCTCGATTGGTTCGCTGCTCTCTCAGTACCCAATGATTGGCGCGAGCACAATACGGGTTCGAAGTACACCATCGTATTGTTGATTAAAAAAATTTCCTTGCTTTCCTACAACGGGAGGATCCCATATCCAGTCGTGGACTAAAGGCTGATCGTGGTGATGATGAAGATCTAGCTCCACTAAAATAACCAGTGAGTAGAAAATGCTCGACAGCAACGGCTGACATTATTATAAATTATCTAGACGCTCATGTGATATTCTTATTTACCCCAATTTGTTCTTCGCTAATATCGCATTATTAACTTTTCTATGTGCTTGTTTCAGTTACTAGACTTATTTGACACAGAGGACCCGCGGGAGCGGGACTTCCTGAAGACTACACTACATCGGATATACGGAAAATTCTTAGTACTACGCGCCTATATAAGGAAACAAATTAATAATGTATTTTATAGGTGAGTCCTGCCTTCATTGTTTCTTTGTATTTTTGTACTATTTACGCCCACTCACTATGAAATGACAAACAAATAATATAATATGATGCTTGTAAATACATCTACTTACCGTGTAGTGGCGGTGTAAGAATATTCACTACCCAGTATCATACCGTGGGTGTCGTAAAAGGAGACAGAGGGAGAAAGAGATCAGGAGATGGGCAGCAGCGTTATCCTAATAACGAATAAAAAAAATGCGGTTGCCAACCCGCTTGTCTAACGTGACAACTATGGCAAATATGTCCACTATAAGGGAATCCATGCTGAGGTCTATGTTCGGCAGTGGACTTTAATAGGCTGTAACGGTATCATCTTTTTTCCATTACTACGTGGTAGGAATTATTTTCTGTCTAGGTGTTTGTGTTGTAGGCGCCACCCTCTTACTTATTTCTGGGACTAATAGCAGTGCTTGCACAGCTGTGTTATTTTTTTATAGGAGGGGGGGGGGGGGGGGACAAACGTGCACGCGGCTCACCTGATGGTAAGTGACTACCGCCGCCCATGAACAACCGTAACACCAGGGGAATTGCAGATGCGTTGCCGGCCTTTTAGAAAGGTGTAAGCTCTTTTCATGAAGGTCTCTAAGTAGTATCGGTCCGGAAAAATCGCCGGTGGTAAACAATACCACAAAGGAGTTTTACGAGGAAATAGTAGTAAAACCACTGTGGTGGACCACCAAGCATCCAGATGGTGAGGATGGTATCGTGAATTCTGATGGTTCCGGTCTGAAGTGTATAGAGAGCCAGTATAATTATAAACTGTCAGATATTGCATCTTAGCCCTCAGAGGTGACAAAGCAACTGCAGCCTTCTTTTTTGAAATTGGTCGCAGGTCCATAGGCTGCAATATCACTTACCATCAGGTGGGTTGGTATTGTAAACAAAACCTATTTATATTTATTTTACCTTGGCGCTTTACTCTTTTGCAACGGAATCATATCGGTATGTTATCATTGGCATCGCTATGAATATCGCAAACGAAAACAAATTTTAGGTGACGTAATATTTTGGCGATGTCGAGGTTTCCCGCATAAAGATCACCTGCGGCGTCCTATTTAGCCCATACGATGGCCCCGCTCTATTTATCAAAATATAAACATGCGCACTTTTACAAAAAATTATGAAGGAAGTTGTGTGGTATAAGACGAACGGTTTATGTTAACTGACTAAAATAATTAAATACCTATTTTAGACTCTAAGCATTAATGTTTTAACGTGAATACGTCTAGAAATTTGCTTCCACAGTGGGAGGTAATTCAGAAAACTGATGAATGATGATAACAAAATCGGGGGATACAGTTTGGTGTTGCAGCTATGTATCTATCATCTATATACAAAATTTAATTACACCACTCGATAGCTAAAGGATCAAAGAATTCGTTGCGCACGAATGGGTCGGATCGACCGGGGAAGGACCACGCTCTCACAGAATACCAGCGTAAAATAGCAGCTTAATGCTGCCGTTTTTCGTATGGTCAGTGTAGAGAGCCGGAGACCCTTTTTACTGGAAACGAGGCATTCCATCTTAGTCCTCAGGGTTGATAACGCATCTGCATTTTGATTCTTAATTGAGGATAAATGTAGATGTCTATGGGCCACAGTATCCATTTACCATCAGGTGGACTGTGTGCTATTGTGTGTGCGTTCGGGAAGCTACGACACATCTTCTCGTCAGACATACCTCAAAACCTTAAAACGAAATTGTACAACCAGTGCATGTTGCCAGTGATGACTTACGGAACTGAGACGTGGTCCTGCACTGCTGGCCGTATAAGGAAGCTCAAGGTCGCTCAGCGAGCTATGGAGAGGGCTATGCTCGGAGTTTCTCTGCGTGATAAACTTAGGAATGAGGATATCCGCAGTAGAACCAGAGTAACCGACATAGCCCAACGGATTAGTAAGCTGAAGTGGCAGTGGGCCGGCCATATAGCTCGAAGAACCGACAACCGATGGGGAAGAAAGGTTCTCGAGTGGCAGCCTCGTACCGGTAGGCGAAGTGTAGGGCGACCCCCCACAAGATGGAGTGACGACCTGGTAAGACATGCAGGAAGTCGATGGATGCAGGTGGCTCAGGACCGTGCTTTGTGGCATTCCTTGGGGGAGGCCTATGTTCAGCAGTGGACTTATGAAAGGCTGTAATGATGATGATGATGATGGACTGTGTGCTCGTTTGTCACCCTTATTCTATAAAATAAAATAAAAAATATTGAGTAAAGACTGTAACACATCGCGCGTGGCGAAGGGGGAGTGTCGCCATTTTGAGGTTGTTTCGTTAGGTACACGTATACACGTAAAACACACGGCCATGTCCACGGTACAGCCACATCCCAATTTTTTTTTTATAAAAGTAGAAGTAATAAACAACCGTATAGTACACATGATGGTAAGCGGCTACTGCAGTCCGTGGACACCTGCAGCCAGCTTCAAATGAACAAGCCTGCAGATGCGGTGTCACCTTCGAGGACTAAGATCGAATGTCTCACAGTTTGTAATGATATTCGTGAAGTGATCATGTTCGGGTATTTTTTATTAGGTCCATCAATGAATTTTCCGTTTTATATATTCAAACTTTTTTTTAATAAAATCGTTAATGTTTCGGATATTTAAATCCACAAAACTTGAATTGATTAATTCTTTACTCTAATACCACCTCCCCTTTCCCACATGTAAACGATATCCCAATTCGTTTAGTTGGAGGAAAATGGAAGAAATAACGTACGAGCGAGGTCTCGTGAGCGGTTTCCACTCGAAACTCCTGCAGTTTTGTGACAGTACGTTGTACAATCTGTGTATGACGTTTACGTGAAATTGGTGTACTACTAAAGCTTAACCGCCTTATTCCAAAACACGGACTTAATATAGTACTGGAGTTAGTAATATATTTAAACCATAAACTAAGAAAATCGTTATTACAAAACGAAGATTATCTCTGGTTCAAGGATTATCTATGGTATTAAAGTTAATCTTTCGAGACCCCTAGTTTAGCTATGGTACTAACCTTTCTATATAGTTTGTGGTACTCTATACTAACCTCAATTTCGGTACTTCTTAATTTGAGGTGAGCGTTGTTTTCATTTGGTGTTATTAAAATCGTTAAAAATGGATATTAACATGATTGACTTGATGGATTTAGAAGATTTGGACATGCTAGACACCACTCGGCGACCTGATAGACATCGACATCGTGTGAATCCGTTTGAATTGAGTGACGAAGATTTTAGGTATAAGTATAGGTTCTCAAAACGTTTCGGAGAAAAAATAGTGGGTATCTTACGTGAGCATTTAGTGCACGACCCTCGAGGATGCCCATGGAGTCCTGAAATTCAAGTGGTTTGTGCATTATGCAACTGGGCTCGCCATGAAGTAAGTGCTGTTTATAATCTTGGTGGGGTCAATGTACCTAACATTACGCTAGATAAAAAGCCAAATAATACATATTATTGTTTTATTCGTAGATTCAAGACGATACAGCTGATTTACATGGTGTGTCTCAACCAGTAGTAAGTAGGACATGTAAAAAGTAGCGGAAATTTTGTCACGGAAGTCCCGAGAATTTATTAAAATGCCTACTACTTTAAATGAACAGCAGGAAACCATTAGGAAATTTCGCAGTATTGCTAATTTTCCTAAAGTAATTGGCGCAATTGACTGTACTCACATACGAGTAAAGAAAGTGAATGCTGATGGGGGTCAGTTATATATTAATAGAAAAGGATTTTCTTCAATTAATGTACAGGTAATATACAAATATTTTAAATAGCTGTGATTGTCTCTTAATAACTTTACTTTATCATAATAGAAAATAATTTGTTTGACTATCTTATGGTAATAAATATATATTAAAATAAACCAGAAAAACATAAAGTACTAATGAGCTCTTATTTTACAGGTGGTTTGTGACGCTGACCTGAAAATCATGGACATTGTTACCAGGTGGCGTGGTAGTGTACATGACTCCAGAATATTCCGAGAATGTAGACTAAAACAGAGGTTTGAGGCTGGTGCATTCTCTGGAATATTACTTGGTGACAGTGGCTATCCTTGTACCCCTTACCTATTTACACCGCTGCTGAACCCCACAACACCACAAGAAGAAAGATATAATAGGAGCCATATCCGTACCAGGAACACAGTGGAAAGATGTTTTGGTTTGTGGAAGCAACGGTTTCGTTGCCTATTAAGAGGTATGTTTGGAGATATTGAAACAGCAAAAAAAAACAATTGTTGCATGTGCTGTACTACACAATATGGCCATCGACATGAGAGAAGATGTGTTTTCTGGTGAGAGAGATAGCATTGAACAATATTCATCTGAACCTATAGTACAAAGATATATTGCACCATCAATAAGGGGAAATATTAGAAGAAGACAGTTTATTGAAACTCATTTTCAGTAGGTAAACATTTTTTTTTACATATTTATATAGCTATTTATAATTAAAATTAATAATTATATTTATAAAATTGTCAATTTTTTTTCAATTGTCTAAAGCTATGTATATATAATTTATTTTATTTTGTTATTCAGAGGCCAATTTTGGCTATAAAATTACATTAAGGATCAATAAATGTATAAGACAATTATAATAATATTTCTTTTTGATTTCAGAGATAATACCCATTTATAAAGGAAAATATTTCTGCAGAGCCGTTGTCAGCTGTCAAAGAATAACGACTACATATTCACCAATATGAAATAAATTCAGGGGAGTATTGTGATAATATTTCATTTATTGAGCAAAATGCTTTTATTTAGGCTATAAATGATTGTGTTTCAGGGAAAGATGCGGGGTACAGCACATTCCACATCAATATGAAGCTATATTATATAAAGATTTAAGTGCTTTAGAGATATGTTTAGATTTTTTAATAAATATCGTCCCTCCTCTACATTCACAGCCGGATTTCCTTTCCAGAGGTGCACGGGTCCACGGGGAGTAGGACTGTATGATGACTAAGTAA